TTAACCTCTAATACTGCATCTCCTTCTTTTAACCTCACTTCTTCTGACCAATTTATCTATTAATACCATTTTGTGTTCTTGTTTCCTCAAATGTCGCCCAAGAATGTGCTGCTACCAGTGGTTTTAGTGAAGCGTAATCATCTTCGCCACCGGTTTAAAATGTCACATGCAAGGCTTCTTACTTTCATTTAACCCCGTCTTTTATACGCTTGTCAATTAGTCCTTGCTACACATCAAAATCATTGTCTGATTGTCTATTAGCCTTCAATTTCTGTCCTCGAATACATCAGATGCAATGATTAAGAGCAATTTATACCCATCCTTTACTGACGCTTAAAACCAGTTATCCTCCTCCTCATTTCCAATCCAACTGTATCACATATTTTGGCGCCCTGTGTCAGACTTAATTCGGAACCACTGTTCTGAAAATGCACCGCTTCCCTTTCTCCACACCTTAATCATTTAAAGCACATTCCTCTTGTCTCTCGAATTGACAGTACCACCTAACTATTTATTCATTTGTATGTTGGTTGGTATCTCTCATATTGAGATACGGCGCCAGTCGCCTCACATTATTACACACACGAAAATACACACAAGCACACAAGCATTCACACTAGGGACCTATATCTGGCATACCCATACCGTTAGTCTAGCACCTATAATGCCTCCTACTAGAACTTTGGTATACTTTCGTAGGAGTGAACCCATTCTCTATTAGACAATTTCGCTGTTTGTATTAATTTCCTTCAGCATTTCCTGCAGTACCCCTTTGATTTTAACTGTTGAGTCTTTTTATTGTTGGGTCGACCTTGTTTTCGCAACCTAGTCACAGCGTCAGGGAGACCTTGAGGGACGTACCAAGCATTCACGTGCCATAGCATTCGTGAATTCCAGTATCGAACAGTTGACTTGGTACATTCCCAAACTTTTCCCCGGCATCGTAGTCGGCATCGTCAATAAAAGGTATCAACATCAGCACAGAGTCACAAATTATCAGTGTCAAGTGAAGACAATCCCCTTGACCAATTTTATGCTCAACAGTTGTCGTATCACTCCTCGCCCCTCTTTTTGTTCTACTTTCTAGTGCTGCATCTTTTTCTCTCAAATTAACTTCATATTCACAATTCCGTGCTCCCGTTTCCTCCGCTTGCTTGCTTTTGTTAATAATCGATACGTTATTGTGCTCCTAAGCATATTTTACATTTTCTCAGTGTTTTCCTTCCCGTGGAATCTTTTGTCAACTTGTAGAACTATTTTTTCGTTTTTTATTCTCTATATATCTTGACTACATTGTTCCTATCCGTAGGCACTTTATGCTCACTTGATGGGCTCTGGATAGCGAGGAGACCAAAAAACGTAAAGTTAGAGAGGCTGTGAATATCCTCTTTCAAATAAACCTGATATACAGGAGATTGGAAGAGAGAAGAATCAGCGAAAACACTGCGTACTGCCTGGGCAGACTTGGAGATTCGGTGAGAAAAGCAAAAAAGACCTTCAACCAAGGACAACTATTAAAGCACGGTAAGAGACATCACCAAGGAGGAGATGAGGGGCAAAGGGTGATTGCAGTGAGGGGAGTCAAACCTGGAACCAACTAAAATGTTGCTATACAATTAAAGGTCAGAAACAGGCATATCATGCCCCACTAGAGGTGCTAAGTTAAAGGTATGGGAGTGCCATATATAGGTACAGCAATAAAGGTTAGGACAAAAAAAGGGCTAGGAGTGATGACTGAACAGAAAATTGGTTAAGGAAATTGTCTTCACTTGTCACTTTGCTAAATTGTAATTCTATGCCGATGATGGCGCCTTTCACTGATGATGCCGGCGAATCGTCTAAGAATGTGCCAAGTCAATAGTCCGATGCTGGAAATAACTAATACTATGGCAGAGGACACAGGAATAGGTACGTTTCATAAGGTCTCCATGACACTCCGACCAAGTCGCGAAAACAAAATGCTATACCATCTTGGTCTTCAAATCTAAGATCCTTCGATGAGTATGATAAGTAACCTTTAGACCTACCAATAACCGCTTTTCTTGATTTAATTGCATTGGCCCCAACGGAGAAAGACCGGCCGTTGACCACGGACGCATATTCTTTGTAGGCAGGCGTTCACTGTGCGGAGGTCCAATGATACATGAACAAGCATATTGGCTTGTGGTTGGGCGAATAAATAGCTGGTGCTGCAATTGTGTATGAGGGTTATGAGGAGTAAAGTGCTGCATATGAAAATTGGACGAATTTTGCGGTTGTACGATGGCAGCAACACTCGGGTTTGGGTGAGGATACTGTTGGTGATTAGGATAGGCGGATGAGCGACAGTCAGGTGGAGAGCTAATCAGATTAAGTTGTCCATCAGGAGGGCAGGTGTGTAGGTAGGGCTGGATGGTGGACTGTGAGGGAGGTCTGTAGTGATAATATTTATGTGGGCGAATGTGGAAATGAGTTTTGATATGAGGATGCATATGAATGAGCACGAATGGCTCTACTTGTTAACACTTTCGGATATAAGTTAGTGTACGAGCATATTCGTGAGTAGGAGATAGTGATAGGAAGGGAATGTATTTGTGTATAGAAAAAGAATAAGAATAATAAAAGTTATGGAGTGGACTGAACAGATAAAAACAAAACTTATCTCTACACATTCTTATAAACCGTATCAAAGCATAAACCATCCTTAAGTCCAAGGACTAATAATACTTAGTAATACTGATGAAAGTATCAATGGTGATGGCGTTATCTCATCATGTCTGATGATTCTTACTCCCTAAAGAAGCAATGCCCTTATTGGTGGCAATATGAAAGTATCAGTATCAATAAGGCACTCAGAAGCCCTGGGAGTAATTCAGATTAAAGAGGAGGATAGTGGGAACACAGAACCAATGCTGTATGATTTCTACAGCATTCCACAGAATTAAATCTAAGACATAAATGCAGGCATGCGTATATACATACATAAATAATTACATTTATAGTACGTAAAATACGCTCAAATAATGTGAAACAAGACTTATCACTTTAATAAGTAAAAACTGTGCTAAAGATGGCGACTCTCTCTGATGATTGTGGTGAAATGTCTGGAAATGTACCAAGATAATGGCTCGATGGTGGGAATCCGAGGACGCATAATTAAGTACATTCTACGAGGTATCTCTGTCGCTCCGAACAAGTTGCAAAACGGAGATCAAACCAATACTACACAGGAGACTGTAACTAAACCTATGACAATACCATCTATAATTTAATTGAACAATATTAGACGAAAATTCCATCTGTAAGTAGGCCTGAGTCAGACTGTTAATTTCTTCAGCTGTCCTGTACGTCAATATAAATGTTCTATCTTGGCTTCACTTTTTCCTTAAATTTAAACAATTAAATCAAAACTGTTTTAAATTCTTAAGAAACTTTAGGTTTGACGATGATGTCATGTATTCTATTCTGATGTAATAAAGATAAAATTGAGTCCCTAGCCTTCCCGAAAAAGTAGGAAGAAGGCTTAATCCAAGTGTTTAGAATTTCGCAGTATCCTCATCCTTCAACTCCAATTCGTATAGTCCCTTTACCTACCTGCATCTCCTTGTATGTTGTAGGGGGACACCAGAGAATGAAAGAATGAGATAATGATGCAGAGGTCAAGCATATGGTAAATGATGCATAGAAGACCTGAAAAGGTCTGCGTGTCAAATAATCACGGCTTAAAAGTAATCAATGCAAAATTGATCGTACACATTCAATCAAATTTTAGGGCCAAATCATGTAAATATCTCTTCGAATGTGAATCAAGTGATGGCCGAGACCCAGTGCTTACAGACAACCATTTAGATAAGACAGTAATTCTCATGTAAAAAATGGAAGAGCTGGCAAGTTTGATGAAGTAGAAAGCCAAGTGGAAGTGCTGAATGAGACCGAGAAGCCAAGCAGAAGGAAACAGAAATTGTTGATCAAGTTAATTAAACTTCACCAAATCTACTTGAAGTTACATACTCTTAAAATAAATTGGAAGAAGCTAAGACTTATGAAAAGAGGTTAAGGAATAAGGCTACAATGCTAGGACAAGAGGAAGAAGGGATACCGTGATGTTTGAACAAAAAATTGGTTGGGGGGATTGTCTTCAATTGCTACCTTGACAATTTATGGCTCGGCGCTAAGGCTGGAATACGATACCGGCGAAATATCCGAAAATGCATTAAGTCAACGGTGAAATGTGGGAATTATCATGACTACTATGGCAGAGGATGTAGGAATGCGTAAATTCTACAAGTCCGCCGTGTCACTTCGAAAGCCAGGTTAGGCCAATATTTTACTATGATCAAAAATCATCTAAATTTGATTCCATAGTGGCCTTCAAATATTCTAGATATATAATTCGGTTAGGTAGACTTATTTTAAACGCCTCCTAATAAGTCCACATTGTCGCTCGAGAGCCTCGTCCTTGCGATCTGATGATGTTGCCTATTCCTGGTTGTTTACGTCTGATTAATAAATAAGCAGAATCTTCGCTAATTCAACCTACTTCCAATTCATTCAATTTGCGTTAGTTAGGATCTTAAAAGCCTAAGTGTGTGTTTCTTTGTATTTTCACCAGATGGAGTCAATCCTTTTGTTGCCCAGTTCCATACATGCAATCTGTTCTGCTAGTTATGTCATATCCCAGTATGGTTTCCATTTTACATGCATCCTCACTGCGAGTTTTGTGAATAAGCGAACACAAACAGGCACATACACATACAGACAGACACACTCACAGGCATTGAAGTTCACATATGACCTTAACTAACCAAATCGCTTTATACTTGATCAGAGGCCAGATGTAGAGTATATATACCACTTTACAGGGATTTGCCAGTTAGTTATCTTGACTCGTTAGCTTGAATTTTGTTGTGACAACGATACCTTGCTCTGATGATGTCGTCATATGGCGGACGAAAACTTAGCACCTTTTCATCGGAATCAAAGGAGATTACCTCGGAAACAGCATCAGCAAGAATCTTCAAGTAAATTCAATCGACAGCTGGTCAAGAGAAATCCGCCGTCGTCTTCTGGTGGAACTCATCACTTTCACTTTAAATGGAAGTAAGCTCAACAATTATGAAATACTACTTACGCCTTATACCTAACCCTGCGATCTTAATAAGGAATCACATGATAGGGTTGGTTACCTTGTGCTTGGCCTGCATACATTCAAATACAGGGTCGGAAGTGGTCACATTATCTCTTTATGTGAATTAGCGTATGATGGTGAAATACTGATGCCTGTTTTAGATGTTTGAATAAAATACTTGAGTCAATTGACAATTTAAATCGAAAATTATACCCAATTTGGTCAAACCTTCTCTCCATACTCAGATGCTCTTCTTGGCCATATTCTCCTATAATTACTATCTAATATACGAAGAGTAACTGGGCTCTGATAAGTCTCTTAGGATAACAGCATTGGGAGCTTACATTTCGTAGAAAAGTGCACGATGAAGACATTTTTAGGTCGATTTCACCAGAAGAAGACGGCTGATTTCCGTTGTACTTCAGCCGTTTTGCTGCATCCATCATATGACGGACACCATCAGAGCTGGAACTCATTCGTTCAAAAGTCTCAAGTTAATACTAGATCACCCTAACAATACTATCCAGTAGACAAATGTAGTCCGTATGTAATTCCCTATAAGGGTTGAATCGCAGAGATATACTGGAGACAATGCCTGATATATTTAAGTATGGGAATCAGAGCCTAGGCGCTCTGCTCGATGAGACCACAGTATACGTGCTACGTACTTCTAGCAGATCATGCAAAATAGCACTTTGCGTAAAACGTATACTGTGATTTGAACCGAGTGAAATAAATCAATCAGTAGAATAAGAGACAAATCTTCAGGGCCCTAAGGGAGATCGGAATAGGAAGTGTGAGTATGAAAAGCAAATCGAGAGATAGAGAAGAGGGACAAGGTGAATATTTTTCGCATGTAAATAGTCTAGGGACTACCAGTAAATCAGTAAGATGAGATGTATTCACCATAATTTCGTTTAAGGTGATGAAAGACTGGTAGTAGAACTTTCCCACAATGACATGAGTAGAGCTGACGTTTCCAAGGTAAATAGCAGATGCGATGACGCCATACTAAACTCGCCAAAAAAGACAAGCTGCTAGGAGTCGAAATAAAAACAAATCAGATGTGATGGTTAGGAAATTAGATACGAGAATAGGGAGTAGGTGGATGTGCCAAAATAGAAAGAGGATAAATGGTCGACAGAATTGAATTCAGTTCTCTTCAACGTAATGTAACTTGGTGTTAAGGCTACAAAGACACATTGACGATGCTGGCGAAACTTCTGAGAATGTACCAAGTACAGGATACAACACTGGGGATTATCATAACTACTATATAGGAGTTCGGACAAGGTCCTTCCAACTATGTCTCCCTGATAACAGAACCAAGTTGTGAAAGCAGGGTGAGACTATTTTTTATGTATAATTATTTTTATCCACCTTTCCACCTATCCCAGACCGAAAACGGGGTTAAACAACCGTGATACGAAATGAGACTATAACTAAAATAGAGGCTGCACCAAATTTGTTATAATGCTTTGATTGAACCACTTGTCATTTACATTTCTAATGGGACTAATATCGATAAAAAAAACTGGCATTTTATATCAAACTCGAAACCACTTTCCCTACAAACAAGAAATGAGAAGCCTAACTTGTTTTAAATACTGCACTTTCTTCATAACCCAAAAGCAAGTAGTGGTCGAGTGGTAAAATGATCCAATTTCTAATCCTTTTGGGGTTGCTGTTTTTAAAGTACATTAAGCTAAATTTCTGTACATTAGGCCAACTATGATTAAGTTTCGAAGTTGTTTAAATTTATGAACTAATTTTCACTTTAAGATAGGTGAATTTTTGGAATATTATTCTAAAACAGCAATCTTCATGGCACGATACATTGGCGACAGTGTAAAAATACCAGGGGTAAAACAAGTTAACCTAACTAAACCGATACACCTCCAGTAACATAAAGAAGTTAAAAATTATCAAACAAATGTGACAAAAGTGCTAAGTTGAATGCATTCAAATTCCTGTCCAAGACAAAGCAAATACGTCGAATAAATACTTGGCGTAAATTAAAATAAACGCCCTTTCCGAATCTCACTTTAAATGTCCAAGTGCTTTTGAAGAAAAACCTTTGAAACCATTATGCAAACCAAGTTAGTTAATATAATTTTAAAAAATTTCTCATCTTTCAAAAAGCAGTTATAGAAGGCTTATAGTTAAGGCGACTTAGACGAGGTACCTATATTTGATGTTCTGATGCTAAAGAGAGTATATGAGCAAATATTGTTTTGAAAAGAGCTTAGAGGAACTATGCAGAGTTTAAGGCCTCAAATTAAAAAAGTTAAAATACTAAAGTGATTTATAAATATCTATGGTCAAACCGATATTCGGAAAAACGAGTAACGCACATGTAGAAATTTGATTTTTCTTGAGTTTGAGTGATCATTGTATGTGGCGGAATTGCCGAAGTATAACGGAGGGGTTTGATAGAGGCCTTAGCAGCAAGTTGAGTCGGTAAGACATTTAGGCTAGATGGCATAGGCGGAGTAGTGGAAGAGGAAGATAGCGAGGCCGATCCCGAGGTCGGAGAAGCCCTTGAGGAGCCCGTTATGGTGGGCCAGGAAGTGGTGGATGATGCCAAGTTAGTTGTGACGTCTGCAACTGCCTCGAGACTCGCAAGATTGGAAGGAACCTTGGTCTCTCGAGGTGCATCTACGGAGGACCGTCCAGTAAGAGACTGGATGGAGCGCATTGACATGGCAGCAAACGACTTGATTCGCTTCATCGGAGCTGATCTGCAGAGAGAAAAGTTAGAAGGAACCGTTTTCATGCACAAAAATTCAGGTATAGTCTTTTATAACTATTCAGAGTTACTTTAACCGGAGCAGATACAATCGGACTCTACAAGAAGCTGGCTAAGCGGACCATTAAAGCCTAAAGGTATGTGGGCCAGATAAAGGTCACCAGTGTGTGCTTTAATGTGAGGTGACTGGTGACATGCTTGACCTCGAGGGATACTAACCAACATACATTAAAATCCTAGTATTCTAGGATTGGATGTGAGTATCAACTTTGGCGACGAGTGTTTTTTGCGATTTAGAGAGAGGGGAGAAGGGAAGTGGTGCATTCTCACACCAGCGAGTATGAATTAAGCCGGATGCAGGGCCTTAAAGAATGAGACACATTGTGGGTAAGGATGAGGGTGAGGATAACCGATTCATGGGTTTAAAACATAGGGAGAGGAATATCCCCAAACACTGGCATGGGTATTGGCATCATCTGCTGTAAATCCTCGAATATGGCGTGATCTAGAACGGGAATTGAAGGCTCTTAGGCAGCCAGATTTCAGTCAGACATTGATTTTGATGTTTAGCAGAGACTAATTGATAAGCAAAGTAGAAGAGGGTGCGTGGAATGAAGATCAGGAGCCCTGTAAACGGCAACTGGAATCCAGTGTAGATGATTACGAATCACTAAATCCAATTATAGCGATACACTCTTAGGAGACATTGGAGAAAACTAGATCACATAATCGTGTAAATACGTAGATGGTAGATGGTGGGGTTGAAAGGAAGAGAAGCAATACTAGAAAAACAAAAAATTGAGGTAAGCAGTGATTCCACGGTGGTTAAGCAGAAAATTGGTCAAGATGATTGTCTTCACTTGTCACTTTGATAAGTGACTGTGTAATAATAATGGCGCCTCTCTTTGACGATGCCGGCGAAACGTTATACCAAGTCCATGGTCGTATATTGGAAATCACGAATAGTATAGCGGAGGACACAGGGCTAGGTACGTTCCACAAGGTCTCCCTGACGCTCCGACCAAGTTGGGAAAACAAGGTCGAACTAACACTACAAAGCTAAAGGAGACTGCGACCAAATAGATCACATCATCTTGGTCTTTATATTTACAGTCTCACCTTAGCCACTTAATTATGAGCATAACACTGGCAAACTGTCCAAAAAATGAGTAAATGGAATAAACAAAATAAATGTCACTGCTGGTTGAAATGAGTAATGCTCTATAAGTAAATATGGTTATGGAACAAATCCCCGGTTAGAGGCTTGAATAAAAGAAAGCATAAACGCCTGCTAAAGTTATGTGACAAAAACAAAGATATGTTATTTAAAGGGAATTTCAAGAGGAGGAAGTATGGCTTGGTTTGGGGTTAATAACTAATCTTTAACAAATTAGCAAAAGATGAACAGTATATGTTTCTTTGCAGAGCAAAATTAGAAAAAATTATTAAAGCCAGTTCATGAAGTAAATATATAACATTAATAAGATGTTATTGAAGCGTAAGTAACAGAAAAACGCCTGTCAAATCAATTATATAAGATGACTACATTGATTGTCTGGATCAGTTCACTAGTCAATTCCTGAAACACCAAAAAAATTATGGAATAATTATAGTCTAAAAATAAATTAATTGATTCTAAAAGCATTCAAATAATTCTCTTTAATCGATTCTTAAGAAAAGAATCAACTCTTATCTAAGGAACTAATACTTATAGGGAACCTTTCGTAAAACTTTTTAAAGGTCAAAAGTAAAACTGTACTTTGTTTAATCTCCGAATCGGAATTAAGCTTCTGATTATCAGTTAGTAAACTAAACTATTTCTCTCCATTAAGCACATATCTGCATGATAAAGATGCTG